TTTTCAACAAGCGCCCAAAGAAAATACAGTTGCAGTGTGCGACGAGAAGCAAAAGTTTTCCATTGAAGACACACCTGTATGTTTTTCAAGAAACTCATCACTTAGCTCACTAAGCGACATTGACCAAGAAAACAACAACAAAGACTGTTCACACAAAGATGATGCAACTCAGATGGAAGTACCTAGGCCACAAGCCTCTGGTTATGCGCCAAAGGCTTTTCACGTGGAGGACACCCCTGTGTGCTTCTCTAGAAATAGTTCCCTTAGCTCTCTCAGTATCGATTCTGAAGATGACCTTCTCCAAGAATGCATCAGCTCTGCAATGCCAAAGAAAAAGAAACAGGCACCAAGAAGTAAGGCAGAGGAACAAGGGGGTAAGGAAGAAAAGAGCTCATTGGCAGATGGTATTTTAGCAGAAGAACCGGATCTTATGTTAGATCTCACGGACACACATAGCCCTATTTCAGAGCAAGCCTTATCACCAGACTCTGAATCATTTGATTGGAAAGCCATTCAAGAGGGCGCTAATTCAATAGTTAGCAGTCTACATCAGGCTGCAGCGAGTCTCTCCAGACAAGGTTCTTCTGATTCAGACTCTATTCTCTCTCTCAAGTCGGGCATCTCCATTGGATCACCTTTACACCTTCCTTTAAATCAAGATGACAATAAGCCTGCTACAAATAAAGGGCCAAGAATACTAAAACCTGGTGAAAAAACCACTTTAGAGGCCAAAAAGAAAGAGGAGGAATCTGTTAAGAGTCTGAAAGGAGGAAAGAAGGTGTATAAAAGTTTAATCACAGGAAAGCCAAGACCCAGCCTAGAAAGCATGTCCTCTCAGCACAGACAAACTCAAGCTCCTGTGATCTCCCGAGGGAGGACAATGATTCATGTTCCTGGTGTGAGGAGCAGCTCTCCTAGCACCAGTCCAGTGCCCAAAAAAACCCCTCCGCGTGGCCAAATGTCAAAACCACCATCTCAAGCATCTGGTCCTGGAAACTCTCCAAGAACCATGAAAGTCGCAGCAAATTCTGAGCCTAGTCCTGCCAGGGACTCACCCTCTTCTCAAGGAGGGTCAAGTAAAGCTTCCTCTCGATCTGGGTCTAGGGACTCTACACCTTCTAGACCAGTTCAGCAATCTCTAACAAGGCCCATGCAGTCTCCTGGTCGTGCCTCAGTTTCACCTGGTAGAAATGGTTTGGGCCCCTCTAACAAATTATCTCAACTGCCTCGCACTGCTTCCCCCAGTGCTGCTTCAACAAAATCTTCGGGATCCGGACGCATGGCTTACACTTCTCCAGGGAGGCAACTGGGCCTGCAAACACCAGCAAAGCAGAGTGGTTTGCAGAGAAGTACCAGTGGAATTCCTAGAAGTGAATCTGCCTCAAAAAGTCTAAACCAGTGTGGAACCACTGGCCCTTCAAAGAAGGCAGAGTTGTCCAGAATGTCATCCACAAAGTCGAGTGGGAGTGAATCTGACCGGTCCGAGAAGCCAGGACTTGTTCGGCAGTCAACATTTATCAAAGAAGCCCCTAGTCCAACACTAAAAAGGAAACTAGAGGAGTCTGCATCTTTCGAGTCCTTGTCTCCTTCGTCTCCAAGCCAGTCACAGACTCCAGTATCTAGTCCATCCTTACCAGATATGTCACTTACTCTACCTTACCAGGGAAGTGGTTGGAGAAAGTCCCCTCATGATCAGAACTCAGCAGAGAACGGTGATAGCAAGTCACTCCGAAGGCAAGACATTTCCCGATCTCATTCAGAAAGCCCATCCAGGCTCCCAATCAACAGGACAGGGACATGGAAAAGGGAGCACAGCAAACATTCATCTTCTCTCCCAAGAGTAGGCACTTGGAAAAGAACTGGCAGCAGCTCTTCCATTCTCTCTGCTTCATCTGAGTCGAGTGAAAAGGGGAGAAGCGAGGATGAGCGGCAACCTACTAATCCACCTCAAAAATCAGGTAAAGAGGGCGGCCTGGAACGCAAAGGAACATGGAGGAAAATGAAAGAGAGTGAAACCTCATATGCACCTTCTATGACATTAGACTTACCAGATTCAACTGATGATGCTGCTCATTCAATGGGTGCTGCTTTGTCCAAGACAGAAGATGTCTGGGTGAGAATTGAAGACTGCCCCATAAACAATCCAAGGTCTAGTAAATCACCCACAGCAAACACACCTCCTGTTATTGACAGCCAGTCAAGCAAAGGGCTTCCTTGTGACAGGGACTTAAGTGAATCACTCTCAAAACAGCCACAAGGAAGTGAGAATACAGCTGTGGCCCACCTGGGTTCAGAAGCAAATCTGAATTTACTCAGGAGTTGCGAGTCTCTTGATAAAAAAGTTACTGACATCAAGCCTGCACCAAGTAATCCAAACATTGGCACAGAGGTCCATGAATTCCCAGTTGCTGAACGCACACCATTTAGCTCAACTAACTCTAGCAAACACAGCTCCCCTAGTGGTGCCGTGGCTGCTAGAGTAAGTCCTTTTAATTACACACCAAGCCCCAGAAAGAGTAGCGCTGACAGCATAACTCCTAGACCATCTCAGATCCCAACACCTATTACAAGCAGTGCAAAAAAAAGAGACACTAAAGGAGACACGACTGAAAGTGGGTCTTACATTGTCACCTCTGTGTAAGTATGGAGTTACCCATAGACTTTTATGATGACAGCCAGAAAGACTTACTATAGACTGTTTTTTTTTGTTTTTTGTCGAGACAAAATGCCACTTTCTTTGAACTTCTTGTTGTTGCACCCTGTGTAAGGAAACCTATTCTGCTGGTTGATTGCTGTTTAAGCTAAAGTTGGTTTCAAATCCATAGAAACAGCAGTAGGGAGACATCTGAGAGTAAAATGTTTGACAATTTGTACTGTACAGATTTGATTATGTATATATTTAATTTAACCGCACATCAGGATCCTGTATTTAGCTTGAATTGACAAGAATTACGGTTAATTGTGGAATATTTGGGATGCTGTGAAGCTTCTGGTGGAATTCAATATTGCATTTGATTTTTTTATTTTTTATTTTAACAAACTGTAAACCTGTATTAATTCCAATGTTAAACTCATTCTCACTGTTGCATATTGTATGTTACATAATGGATTTTCTCCTTGCATGAACCGATTCAGTGGTATAGTATTTCCTATAAAGATAAACATTTCTGTGGACATATGACCTGTACTGATAGCTGTAGTGTAACATTTTACACTTTTGTGTGTGCGCTTTTGACAGCAAGAAATAACTCTCAAAACTGTTGAATGATGATGTTGACGGTTGACATAGATTATATGAAAAAACATAGTTCCATTGCTCTGCTGTTTGTGTATAGTCGTTGCCAGATGAGGTGGGTGGGTGTCTTTTCAATGAAAGACTGAAGTTATGTTTGAAAATTAAATTATTTCTGTAGGTTTTGGTGTTGGTACCTTTTTAAAGCTCATTTGCTTTCCTTTTTAGTAATTAAGCACATAATTAGGTTCAACTGTTTTGCCAAAACCACGGTGTAAATAATCACATTTTATTTTCGTTTTTTTTTTTATTTGTATTTTTCTCATGCAATAAAGTGGGCAGATCAATGTTTACAAAATATTTCCAATAAAAATATTAAATTACACAATAAACTATCATTTTTGTGACTTTGTCTTGATTGTTTATTCCAGACTTTTAATGGTTAATCTGTTTTTTTGTCTTTTTAACCCACAGAAACTCCTTTTAAAGGGGTGATGAACTGAGAATCAAATTTTCCTTGAGCTTTTGACATCTAAGAGGTCATCATATTATAAGAATATCCTGTTCGTTTCAGAACTGAAAACGTCCTTGTTAGTCCAATAAAAGCTTTTATTGACACCAGCCTCAGCAAACAACTCGTTTTTCAAAGTGGGGAACTATGAAGTCAAAGGGGATAAAACACCACCCCCGCAGAAGACGATCAATGCCTACTTCAACACGGCCGGTTTAGCCCCGCCCACCAATTCGCGCATTACACGCATAGCTAAATAACAAAGATGCCCCAATACAAAATATTGTGCAGCGCCTGGTTGTGGAAGAAGACAGTTGCTGCATGAGCTTCCTCTGGATTCCAATAGGACTGCATGGATAAACATTATTTTTAATGACGTTCCAGCTGATGAGGTAAAACATCGTCCGTCTGTTCGCTTCATTTCACTGAGGATTGTTTTGTAAACAAGACTTGCAGACCGATTAAGAGTAAAGAACGGTGCTGTGCCGACTATATTGGATCTGACAGGAATGGTCCAACACACGGACTCTGGGTCGGACTCTGTTTGCGAATCATTCCGGTCAACATTGGATGTTTTCAAAACAATTTCCCCCACGTGCACCAACGAGTGAGTTGAAACTCATTATAATATGCAAAACTGTTATCCTCTCACAGCAGTGGGCGTTAAGTCTTCAGTGCGAGACGCCCATAAAAACCGAGTGTTTTTCAGCTCAAAACTAGGGTACAAAATAGCCTATTACTTATTAATTCTGATGTTTTTGAATGTAAAAACCAAGCGAACGTCATAAGTTGACCTCAGACGACAAAATAATACAATTTAAAAGACAGTTCATGACCCCTTTAAAAGTTTATTTGTTCCCAGTTTAAATAAGTAATCTCAATTAATTGTGCGTTACTTTTTTGGGTGCTCTTAGGAAAAAGAGAGCTTATCTAAATTTAGTCCGAAGTTAAAACTCATGGGTCATTTAATGTGAGCCAACTCATCCAATTTAGTAAGGTAAACAAATATCTAAATACCTTCCTGATTCACATGTAGTCAGCTCTTAGGAATGTATTACTCACACACACAGTCATGCTGACTGTTATCTGCCATCATTTTGTAAACGGATTCCACACTCTGATGCCATTGCCATTTAGTACATGTTTAATTACATTGTCTTTTGAACTTAGTTTAGAAACGGCTGTTTATTTGGGGGATGTCTGGTGGTTACAGCCTATTCTACTCTATTCTAAGTAACTTCTGCAGTTTAACAAGTTGTTGACATCAACAGCTTCTCTATACTTCTCTAATCGTGGTTTTGTTTGACCACACTTTAAACCAGGAAACCAAGAATGTGAAACATTGTATTAGATTAGATTAACATTCTAGAAAGAATAATGAAAATCAAATCGTCGGTTGAAGAAGAAAAGCATTCATGTAGTTAGAGCGCAAGAGTCTTTTAATCAAAGGACTTCCTTCCATTTCCTGTGGTTCCGCCTTCAAGTGGCGGCGAAAGGGGGGAAGCATCACTAGAAGTACAGAGCAGCTGAGGTGAGGACACTTTGGTAAGACAATAATATCTGATCTATTGTTTAATTATACGAATATTGCTGCTGCTTTTTCTCCTTTAATCTGGAAGTAATTTCAGATAAAAGCATTGACTGATAATACGTGATTTTAACAGGATAAACAGCACTTTGGAGAGGATCAACTCAAGCAAAATGAACCAAACATCTCAATATTTTGAGGAGAACTACATGAACTTCAGTGAACATGATGATCAGTGGAGCGATTATGAAAGCAAGACAATAATGTCTTCAGAGGTGAGCAGTGCTATGAGGGTGATTTCTCTGGTCGTCTACAGCCTGACGTTTCTCCTCGGCGTTCCCGGAAACATCTTTGTCGTGTACATTGCTGGAATGAAGATGAAGAGGACCGTTAACACAGTATGGTTTCTCAATCTAGCCACTGCCGACCTCCTGTGCTGCCTTTGCATACCGTTCAGTGTGGCGGAGATCCTTCTTGACCATCACTGGCCGTATGGATCCGTCATGTGCAAGATTCTCCCCTCTGTCATAGTTATTAACATGTTTGCCAGTGTTTTCACCTTGAACTTGATCAGTCTAGATAGGTTCACCCAAGTGATCACACCGGTTTGGGCTCAAAATCATCGCAGCTTGTTTCTCGCACGGCTGTCCTGTGTAGTGGCCTGGGTCCTGGCTCTGGTGCTCAGCTTGCCCTTTATGATATTAAGACAAACTTTCACTGAAGTGGATTTTAACATCACACTTTGCACATTTCATGCTGACGAAGACGGTGACTTCACGACATCTGGAATGTTGAGTATCATCAGATTTGTGTTTGGCTTTTTGATACCGCTCATATGCATCACGTCATGCTACGGAGTCATCGCACGCAAGTTAGGCACGAGTCATTTTCACTCCGGCCGAGCGTTTCGCATCATGTTGGCTGTTATTGTGGCATTTTTTCTGTGCTGGCTGCCGTATCACACGGTGGACTTGATGATGAAGTACGGAGGGGAATCTAGGGACTTGGCTTTGGCACTGGATCCATTGGCCATCTCTTTGGCGTACATCAACAGCTGCCTGAACCCCATTCTCTATGTCTTCATGGGGCAGGATTTTAAGAACAAAGTTAAACTTTCTCTGAGACGCGTTTTTGAAAGGGCTTTCACTGAGGAGGGAACGCAAATGTCACGATCCACCCAGTCACAACAAATACACTCAGTGTAGTTAAGATATAAACATTTATCGGTTAGAAATTAGAGTTTGATCAGTTTCTATGCCAAATCAAGACTCTTACTTGCTTTAATGTTTTGTATCTAATGCAATTTTGGTTTGATTATTCTCAGAATTATTTTCTTGACAAAATACTTTTATGTATCTTGGCAAAAATATTCTGCCTATATTTCTCTTTTTAAAATGAAACTTAAAGATATGCAAAACATCACAAGTAGCTTATTCTAGCTCTTTTCAGTAGGAAGTGTCACCTTTTTTTTTAACTTTTTCTCAGGAAGTTATGAAACTCTTATTTAGTGCCTCTCTAAAACATCTGCAATGAAACGCATATGAGAGAGAAGGAATATTGTTTTATGTTACAATGAGTTTTTGATAGGTATTCTTAGCAATGCTCAGCTTTTGTTGCAATGTTTTTATCTTTATTTATGAATTAACAGGGTTTTTTGAACAGCTTTATGGCAGTAGCTTGCAATACTGATGCTATTAGACTGGTGCTGAATGTTTTAATGTACATTCCTATTCTGTCATAAATGGAAAGTTCTAGCGTCAGCAGGCCTACTATTATTAATAATGCTCTACATTGATGTAACATCAGTCGAGATTACTTTATTACATTGTCTTCAATTATTTTATAGTTTTGCTACTATTGTAATGCCATATCACATATTTGCATTATCATCTATAAAATATATTAGTATACAGTGTGTTTTAAGATATAATTACTGTTTTATGATCATTAAACACTTAATTTGAACAAAAAGATTATGCAGTGTTATATTTGGGCTGTATGGAATACTTTTGATTGGTAAATGGTGTCATTCTTATCCTAGGCTTTTAGTTTCATGTCTCTCGATTCACTCTACACTGCCTTTTCTCTTTCCACATGACATAAAACCATTTAAACCCGTCTTCCATTGGGATTTCCCGTATCTAAATATGTTTAGTGAAAGGTAAAACTTCCGAAATCTCCGTGTAAACAATGCGTGACATATAGACGCGCGAGAGATCACTTCCGGTGTAACGTTCAGTGCGGTTCATTCGGACATCTGATTCAGATCAGTTCGACGGCTGTTAACAAGAGGTAAAAACTACATAAATACTCTACTGTTTTCTCACACAAACCGCTTGTTTCGTGTCTTAGGCCACCAGTGTACTTACATTCACGAGTCATTAAATCATGTTTAATTTGGACTTCTCTGTGCATGCTCTTTGAGGTGGACCCTAAACCTGCATTATTATATTACTGACAGACAACACGGGTTTGACCAAAAAATGTCAAAATTGAAAATACTGTGGAAACAAGACGTCTACATCTTGGATGCCCTTGAGGTAAGCTAAAACATCAAAAATTAATTTCAAAGTGAACTATCCCTTTAACCCCACAAATGGGGTAAGTAACATTTGCACTTCTGTCACTTTCAGTGCAACTGCATGAAAATGGTGTGCTAGATGGATCTTAGAAAAAAAACCCAAAAACTTTAAGTGTTAGATGTGTATGTTGCTTGTGTAAAAAAGAAAAAAAGATGAATCTAACCTAATTATTTTTTTAAATAATTGAGCCAAAATCAAAATGTGTTCGGGTTGTGTCCCGCGTACGTTCTCCGACCTAGTCAACTTCTCAAAAGAAAATCAATCCAAAAAAATCAACCTTAGAGTCTTTGCGCCTTCATTGTCATTGCTGTTTTATGCTATGACAAACGTGCCTAATCCATTGGTATAGCATTACATTAAACAATTTCCTCGCCTAGCACACAAAAACAGTTCGCTTACCACTTGGCACAAATCTCTCCATTATAAATTGTAATTTCCCGTCAATATAACACATGCTGCTGTACCATCCATTCGCCACCAGAGGTCAGTATCTCTTACCTGTTGATGCGCATCACCTGTGTGTCCGTGGTTACAGCGCTCAAGCTCCCCAATCCTCAAACTTCACATTACAACATAAATGAATTACAAGACTATGCTCAGTACCTGTCTAGTGATGCATGTTTATGCTGAAATATAATTCAGAAACTTTTTGTTTTGTGATATCAATTGTGATATTTAGAAGCCGATATTTATAAATACGCCCTTGAGGTGTTTAAAGTTATGGGTTCTTTTAAATGAGATTTACGTAGAAAACGTACTGTGTCACATGACCCGGTTCAGTTTGGAGCGGCATTTTGGCCTGAACGAACATGGATGCTGAGATTGAAGCGTAGTCTGGAGAGGCGCACAAGGTTATTTACTTTTATATATATTTCATAATGTTGTTTTATATTAGGCCTGCTTTATGTGCACGATGTGATGTGCTTTTCATGATGTTGATTGGATTTGTCGTATTTCTGTTGCGACATTCACTTGCATATCATCGGACATTGGCACGAGACACTTGTAAATGCATATTTCGAATATGTTTTATTTCTTGTAGTTTTCAGGGTGTTAACTGAAAAGAGAGAGAGACAAAAATAAACAAGAAAATCTGTATGAAGCATATGGCCTTTGTTTCGTCAGACCAGTGACAGTTATGGGGTTAGGCAGGATTGTTCCAGGATCAACAATGTTTCATCGTTTAATTCAGAATCCTAAACCAACAATGTTGGGATATTTTGCATAAAGAACCTGAAATTCAAAATCATAATCCACAATATCAGCACAAAATGAATTGTCCTGTTCACTCTGGCCGTGCATTTCGCATCATGATCATGAGCAAAATAGCACACACAAAAAAACCACATTTAGACACGTTTGCCGGAAATTACTGACCACTGCAACTTAACAAGTTCCTCTTTTCATCCCAATAGAAAAGACAGATGGCAGATTTTAAGGTTTGCATGCCAAATGGATTTTTGTCGATGTAAATGCAAATGAAACGAAAGTGAAAATGGAAAAGGTTATCTTTATTTTCTATCTCTTTTTACATCTGCACACGCCTAAATGTGAGTGTAATTAAACTGAGTTTGACAAGACCAATATAAGTCTTGACACAAGAAAAACTGACAACTGACATCATGTCTCATTTGTCAAACAGAGCAAACTTATTTTTAAAGATGGAAATGTTATAGCATAGTTGAACAGAAAGCAAGGGACCATGATAAATTATGCATATGCTCTTTTTCAGTAAGCGTCAAAAAACTACACAGTGAAAGGATGATATTTCAATTTGAATAAAAACAAGAACGTATTCCATGTAACCCAATGAGCCTTATATGAAAGATGAATGCTGGAAGGCAAGATCACATTTAGTTTAATGGTGTATGTCTGCATCTTTCTCTCTTAAAAGGCTACATCAAAAAACTATTTAGTTAAGTTAAAGAAACAGACTATGACTTACTGATATACACTCTCAGGAAAACAGGTACAAAAGCTGTCACCAGGGCAGTACCCTTTTAAAAATGACATCTTTGTACCTAAAGAGGGCATCTTAGTACCTCTAGGTAGAACCTTTTTATCCAGTGACAGCTTGTGTACCTTTTTCCTCTGAGAGTGTATAATGTCAGGAAGTGCATTAGAGAAGTGCTCTTTGTTTCGTCTAAACTCTTAAAATCCCTTGAACCCTCTGAGCTCTTCTTATTTGTTCCTCTCTCATGGTCTCGATCACATGTTGGTTCCGGAACTGAAGCCGCTGGACCCACTCTTCACGTAACCTGAAGGAAAACATCGAGTCGTAATGATACAAGCGTTTGACTGCTGTATTTTTACATAGACTTTATACTTTATCTAAACAAAAAAATTGTGGCAACAGATTACAAGCAATATTATTAATTAAATTTAACAAATTAGGATTGAGTAATAATTAATCAAATGAATTCCTTAAAAGTTAACCATTTAAAATGAGTAAAACTTACAACAACAACCAAAAAAAAACATAAATGGAAGTCACCATTATGGTGATCGTGTTTGTTTTCAACTTACGGTTTTCTCCTTCAGTGATTCTGCTTGTTAACATCAGCAGGGTGTCTTCAATGTTGGCAATATAAAATAAAGAGTCTGTTAGTGAGATATTTTTGTAAAAATTTTTGGTTTAAACTTTACTCATTTTAAATGGTTAACTTTTAAGGAATAATTTGATTATTGCTCAATTTTAATTTGTTAATTTTAATAATAATATTATTGCTTGTAATCTGTTGCCACAATTCTGTTGATTAGATAAGCATATTCATTTTTACAGTGTATACACACATATTTAGACTATAAGATGTAGTTTATTTATATACAATGTATACATTTGAAGAACATGTATGGCAGTGATATTGGTCATTGATTCAAATTAACTGGGGGATCATTTTAACTGTTTAATTAAAATTTAATAGGTGTTTGATCCAAGTTTAGTTAATTTTTTAATAAACCTTTGAATTTGCTTTTATCTATGTATTCATTACACACCCTGAAAGCCTCACAGCTGTCATTCATATTGATTTGAACGAGGTCCAAAGCCGGGAGATTTGTACCCATGTTACGTGCTAATCCACCCTGACCTTTCTGAAGAGACAGTGAGGAAACACTAGAGGGCAGCAAAAACAAGCAAGAGAAGCTTGCCTGGATTTACCCATGATGTCATTGGGATGCTTTTCATTTCCAAAAGCAAGATGCTGTTTATGGATCCAAAACTAGGTCGGAAAAAACAATTTTGAGTTTCTTCAGTTTTCTCCCATTAAGTCCATCCCTGCAAGTTTGATTTTGTGACTGGTGGTCCTTTATCAAAACGATCTTTCCATTTTGATTTACTCGACCTAATCTGTCTGCAATTACCAGCCCAGAAATAACCCCCGAAAAGGGACAAAAAGGAAAGCAACACATTGGAGAAAGTTATTCTATAGCACAGCAATCATCTGAAAAGAGACGTACGCACTTGGATAACGCGCTTTTGTTCATTCTTGAGTCCTCATTTCCCATCCTCTCAACGTGGCTTTCAATCTTCTCTTCCCAAAACATCTTCAGCCCATATTTATCATGAAGACGTGCCAGATTAATCATCTGAAACAATGAAACCAGAATATTTCAAGGTGACGGATAGCTGTGCATCAGTGTTTCTGGTATTCCTCCCGAAGAAAAACAAATCACAATTTTTCATTGGAGCATGCAATAACTGTAGATCCCTATTATACATGGACAAACCATTTTTTACAGGGAATAATTGTATTCCAAGCAAACTAAGAGAAAACAATGCAACTGCACATGACACGTAATCCATAATCAAGATACATAAGAAATTTCACGTGTGACTAAAATGCACATGCAGCACAATCTCGCTTCTGCCTCTTCTGGGAAGTTCATTACAAGTTCAGAAACTGCGTGTTTGACTTTTTAGCAGTATTGCAACACAATTAAAGCTTTTTTTAGGCTAATCTTCATCAGTATGCATGCACACTACATTAACTAGGAACACATTTACAATTAGAAATACACTTCCTATGTGATTCTTAACTTTGCCAGCCCTGAAATTACATATGATCATCCTGAAATGACGTGCAGGCAACAAAATAAAGCAAGTACCGGTAACATTTTACAATACGGGTGCACTAATATGCATTAATTCATACTTAACTAATGCACAGATAATCATGAGTTAATGTATAACTCATGAAGAACTAAACCATTTATTAATGATTACTGCATCAGCAACTAATAAAGAGTCTATATGATTAATAGATTAAGTAATACATGAATTGCTATTAATTCAATGTGTCATTGTGTATTAATTCCTTAATAACATATTTTATTAACTAATAGTGTAAATTAATGTGTTAATTACCACAATTAGTCAAAGCTATGC